TTCGCATCAGTTCGCATTGAATTACGAATTCGCAAAACAATGGTAAAATGCGAATTGTTGCATCATTTTTACGCCCAAAAATTGCGATTCGTCAATTCGTCTTTAGACACTTTGTCCACACTAATGGTTTCTTAAAAAAACATTAAGTGAAAAATTTGTCTTAAGTCAAATTTTTTAGCTAAGTGTGTATCTCATACATTATTTAACTTAAATCAACTCTCGGTTTCACTTAAGTTTTCACTTAAACTTTTCAGTAGAAAATTGTTTAAATTTTGTAACTTCTTTATTTGAAGTCAGTAACCTATCCAACCCACCATAATTAGACTGAACATCATTTTTAGAGATTTTGTTCAGAAAATTGCTGTAAAATAATCATAGTTGTATAAAATACGAACGGTTTTTACTGCATGACCTCTCATTGACTTAAACCTTTTTAAGAAACGCACAAAACTTAAGTTTGACTTAAGTGTGACTTATTTATTCACTTAAGTTTTGACTTTAAGTCATCGACTTAATAAGTCGATGAAGTTTTTTGAGGAACAGGCCCCAGCATTTTACAGCTTGTTTGCGGACAAAAAATAATTAAATATGGGTATATTTGATCTAATTCTGTTATTCGAGCAGAAAGTTGTTTTAGTCATATAACCGTTTGTACTTGATGTTTTGGATCAGATGTCGTTAGTACACAAGGGATTGTTCTTCTTCTGGTTGGTTGTTTTAGAAAATTGATCAGTGATAAAAAGCGTATGTGGTAAAACGACGCATGATAATTTAGCTGTGTTTTCATACAAGATAAGTGAAGTAAAAATCTGTATATTTCGCTGTATTAAAATCTGTATTATTTTCGGAAAATACGCGTTCAGGTACTGCATCCATCCGTGAGAAAGGTAATATTTTGGTAAACACTAAACTCGAAGTTTGGGAGAACTGTTATGCGGCACATTTTTCTCATTAGATCTATTATTCGTGGCACTAAAAAAAGTGCTCTTCATCATAACAAACAATTGAAAAAGCAGCTAAATCAATGTGTGCTTATTTGGTCTGTCTGTCTTTAAGTCATCAGCCAGGATCACGATACACTAGAACTGAGTGCAAAATATTTTGATAATCATCTTTTTTGTCGCTCGTCACTATGAAGAACGACGTGGTTTTAGAATTTTTTCAGCATGATAAGTTACGAATATGTATGCTGGAGGCGTTTCTCTAAAATGCTTACTTTTGTTTTTATAGAAGCCACAATAAGGAAAACGACTATTCTGCATGCAGCGATTTCAACCAGAAGAAGTTGACCAATAAGCGAGCAAATTTTACCGTAATATGAAATTTTAGCTATGAGATTTCTTGTCATATAAGCTAGGGACGCTATTTCTTTATGTCTATCCTTTGCTTTCAGATGCGATTATTACCATTGTTACGTCAAACTATTACCTGTTACTCTATTCCAAACAAAATATCGCCTATTTTACATCTTCAATGTTTAAAAGTATTAACAAACACAAGTAATCAAAATTTTCGACCATTTTCAATGACAATAGTGTTACAAAAGGGAAAGAATACGGGCGGTGGTGAATCCTCATCGAGTGGTGGAAAACCAAAACGTTTGCTAACTGATAATGATTTATTAAAATCTGGCATTGATTGGTCTAATTTGAAAATACAGTTTGATAAACTTGTGCAAGAATTATATGAACAGTATAAAAAACAAATTACACTGAGGACATCATCATTAGCTTTCGAAGAATTACAAATAACTTTAGATGGTAAACAAGGTCGTTTTTCATTAATGTGAGTTTGTCTTTTGAGCACGTAGAAAATAGCTTTTCTTTGAAAAATATATCCATCAATCAACAGGAGATATTTAGTCTTAATTGATTTTAAAGTTTTGAGCATTGGGGTAGTTAATAGTTAAGGATCATGTACTCAAAAATTTCTGAATACATCATCTCACTGATTTTCATCACTCTAATTCGTCTGTATTTTTTTTCTTAATATACGTGTCTAGGTAAACAACATTTATTAAAAGAATTAACTCAAATAATTCAAAAATCGCCACAATTATTTATGGTTGATTTGACTCGTTATGCACAATATATTCCGAAAATAATTGAATCTATACACCATTCGGGTTTAAATATTAATCCACAACAGGATGGTACAACTATTTATTTACCAGTACCAAAAGTAACACGTCAACATCGTGAAGAATTAGCTAAAAATGCTAAAAAATTATCTGATCAAACGATAATACGTATGCGTGAAATCTATTCCAAAACACATCGAAATTTAAATAAAAAAAGTGATGTAAAAATGAGTAAAGATTTGTTATTGGATTTAGATGAAAATTTAAAATATAGACTTGATTCATATATACAACAAGTTGAAAAAATTAAAAATGAAAAACAAAATGAACTTTTAAATTCAACATTTTAAGCAGTTCTTTTTTTTTATATAGTTTGTAATAGGGAAGTGTAATAAAACGCAAAATATTTACTGTACAGCTATCTATAAGAGATTCATTTTGATAGTAAACGAACAGTAGATTTACTAATAGACTTCGGTAGTGAAAGCTACTCCAATGATACGATGCTGCTTTTTAGTTATGAGCTTATCCACATAAAAATCAGTTTTTTGTAAGTCCGTAACGTTTTGTAAAATTCATAGCTGTTCAACCGAACAACGTATAGAGTTAGGGAACGTCTTATTTTGTAGATTAAAGATTTTTCTTTCATGGTAATTAAGCAAAGTCTAGTAGCTGACCTATTTAAGTGACATAATGTTTTAGGTATACAGCACTTTCGTACAAAAGGCCCTTGTTGGCACGAATTATAGGCAGGTGTTTAGGTAAGAGCTAAATTTTGCTATTAATTGAAAGAAAAATCTTTAGGCTACAAAATAAGACATTCCCCACCTCTGTACGTTGCTCGACTGAAGAGCTATGAATTTCACAACACATTACGATGGTACACTTGGACAGGCCATTATTCACTAAAACTAGATTCTATATCGCGTTAATTAATATTTATTTTGCATTAATTATTATTCATTGGTTAGACAATTTTTTAATTAAAATCTACAAATGAATCGGTTGATGAGCTAGTCGAATGACTTTTTCTCTTTTCTTCGTCGCCTTTACTCAATTCATTGATCAATTCTTCTGTGGTTGTTTGCTGTTGTTGTTGTTGTTGTGCTCGCCTTTTTTTTGCTTTAGAATAAATAGCAAACGCTGTGCCTCCTAATGTTGCTACGGCTGCCACAGCACCGATGATACTCATCAAAAGATCTGTTTTATTCATGATTTTGCGTAATTTTTGTTTAACTGGTTTTAATGAAGAAGTTGAACTCGATTGATCATAATCTGTAGCTTGATCCGTTATTGTGGTTATGTCTGGACGAACGTTAAAACAACTTAGATCTTTTTCTAAATTGATAATAAACGAAAAAACAGTTACGTACACTATATAAACTTACTAATGCATGCAGACTCCGATGCTGTCTCATCAGCTAATTGTTTCGTTACATTTTTAAACGTGTCAGTTCTCTTATCGTAACATGCTTGAATGATGCAATAACCTAAACTAATTTCTTTAAAACAACGTTGATGAATCTGTTTTATTTCACAGTAATCACATGGTAATTTTACTGATATATCTAAAAAAAAGTTCCATTCTACATTATATGGTGTGTTTGCGGATAATATATTAAGTACTATATGATATAAACAATAATCAATCATGTATCGTCGAATATCAACAAATATTCGAAGATTGCTAGGTAGTTTTCTATTCATACCGTTGTATTGTGGAAATTTTAATAAAAGATATCGTGCATTAGAAAATACATCAGAATCAGTGATAATTAATGTGTCTAAAGAATTATTTTTTAACGCGAAATAAAATTGTTTTAATGTACTTGTTTCAATTATAGTTGAATGAAATTCTACTGATGTTAGTTGTAACGTTTTTGTTTTATGTAGTTCAATTTTTTTAATATAACACTGTGAAAAATATAATATTTTTAAACTGGTAAGTCCATAAATAACAGAATCTAATGTAACACGAAGTATATAAGGATACAAAGCGTTCAATGTAATCTGTTCTATTTGGTTATAGTCTAAAGTATTATTTTTTAATTCCATTAACATTTGACTAAGTGTTTTATCAACTGATTCTGAACAATTATACTGAAACATAGTTGCAGTTGAACCAATAGTAGTGCAACCAGAAAATCGATGTCCGAAAGAAAGACGACGATTATCGGATGAACCATGGCAAGACATGGCAATGAAGCTGATTATAATTAAAATGAAACAAATCATTGATAGATTAATTTGAGATGATGAACGGAAGATTTTTTTACAAACTTAAGCTCTAATAATTATTTTTAATTAGAAAATTAAAATTGAGCGATACTTAGCAACATGAATAGTTGAATCGTTGTATTTAACTTTAAAAGAGAAATCTATATGTAAGAACATAATTCATACATATCCTTAAAATTCAAAATTATTTCTTAACCTAAAGTTTCGACAGTGGTGACCGTAACGTTTCAGAAACATCTATTCTCAAAACTAGTTTCGAATGTTGAATCACACTCTGCCATTCAACACATACACACACGTGATGACTTGGATTCATGAACACACCGTAGTAGCAAGTATGACTTTTTTTGTGTTATTTGTCACATGGACATCAATGTATGTGTCGAGAAAAGTCATATTTCTCTTTTGAATCGATGCCAATAATTAATTTTTCTTTTAGACTTTTCCGTTGAACATGAGTCAATTTGAATGCGTGCATGTTTAATGCACTGACGCGGGAGCGAGAAAGTGTGTACATGATGCATATATCGCGCGCTTGTTGTCGTTAACTGATGATCATTTTTTTATGTTATTACTTGTCGTACACATCTCCAAGCAAGAGACACTATTTGTTCTACTTTCACTAGATTCATTTATCGATATTATAACAAATTTTAAACTCTCTAAACAAGTAAGTTCATAAGCATTCGCTCACATACCTTTTCTAAAATAAAACGTACAAAAAGCTTTAATTGAAACGCAGTGGAATACTCTGTGCACTGCTGCATTCTCTTTTACCTGTTCAACTCGCTTCGTTCTATACTGTTAATTTTTCCATTATAGTAGTTTAGGCTCCTGTTGTGACAGATAGAAACCCTAATGACTATACCCAAGTGAGTACTCAGATAAGTCCTCTGCATGACTGCTTCGACAAACATGCACAGAAAATCATGAGCACTTCTAACCCGTGAGTGCTTGTTTTAGTATTCGCCCTAGTCATCGATTCTTATATAAGAATCTTACCAGAAACGTCTAAGTCTCTTACCAATGTTTTACAAGATTCTTATCGGAATCTTATCAGTTTCTTATATAAGATTGTTTAAGATTTTCCATTGACAGTCGTAAGTATCTTATGAGAATCTTATACGATTTTTTGGTAAGAAGTACCAAAAATTCTTATGAAGTTTTTCAGCCAATAGAAGCAACTTAGTATATTTAATATAATTGAAAAACATTTTTGTAAAATGATTTTACACAAAAAGCGAGCTTTCGATACTTCACAGTCATATTAGCCTGATGATGATACTGTGAAGTATCGAAAGCTCGCTTTTTTTTTTACAAAAATGTTTTTCAATTATATTAAATATACTTAGTTTTATAAGAAACGTAAAAAAGTCAAAGAATGTCAATATAGAAGCAACTTAATTATAACAGAAATCACCAAAACCAAGTCATAAGCTGCCTTCTAGTAAATAAGAATAACATAAGAATTTGGTACTTCTTAGGAATTTCTTACGAACCTCTTATGAAAATCTTATAAGATTCTTATAAGACACTTATGACTATCGATGGGAAATCCTAAACAATCTTATACAAGAAACTGATAAGATTCCCATACGAATCTTATCAGTTTTATCAAAAAAATTTTGTCTAGGGCATATGACGTTTTGGAAGTTTATAAGTACTCAGAGAGAATTTATTGAATGCTTATGGGTATTTATCGGGTAACATCATAGCCGTTGCCAAATCTGCTATATAATTACAATTTATAATATTTAAATATGCACTAAATGACTCGATCTTCTATTCAAGTACTATACTTTTCTATGAAAAGAACAGTGGCAAAAATTTTCATTCTTCGACCGAGTGTTTTGTCATAATAACTAGGCTCAGTATTTCGAACTGAGGATGAGGCAATCAACATCAGAGGACCACCATATGGTTAATGTGAATGCTCTTCTTGTGGAGAAACAATGGGCATCCACAAACAAGTCTACTGTAAGGCTCTCTTCCTCCACAGATCACACCAGTCTGAAGCAAAATCCGATGAAAAAAGTGATAGAATATATTATATCTTATAAGGTTTATTCATAGGGTAAATGTTCAGTTTTAGAAACTTTTTCTTATTGTGTGGTTCTAAAAAATATAGCACACGGATTCAAGAATTCCAAAATACATTTTGCCACTCACTGCACCACTGTCAATTATCTCGAGAAAGCTCAGTACAATTGGAGTGTTTCTAACTGACGAGGGAAGTTACTTCACAGTCCTCACTATTTTTGAGGAAATAGTTTTTTTATAGGTAGTTTATAGTGGAGATTGCGAATTTAATATTCATCAAAACAAAAGCAACAAATCAGAAACACAAATCCCTCCGTATGAAATGAGTTGCCAGCTAGAGAGCTTCTGTCTCCTTCAAACTTTTTGTAATTGATAACGTTTTTTATGGACATGAGTTTATGTTTAGCAGATTTTACTGTTCCAAAAAAACTCAGCAAGCGAAAAAGATGACAATTTTAATACCCTGCTCTCTGATGTAAATGTCACCTAACTGTGGAAAATGGAGATGCTTCCGACACTCTTGCGTAATCTTCATCAAAAATTATCTCTAAAAAGCTGAATTTTTTTTATCCAAAAAGCGATAGGACACCTGTGAAACTTCCTTGTCAACATCATTATTTTGTCATTTAGTGAGTATTCGTACATTAAATAATGATCAAACAAATACAATTTATTCTCCATTAAATGATCTACTACATGAAGATGAAAACAAAACTGATCAAGTTGTTCCAAAACACTATTTAAAACGTAAATTAAAAATAACAACAACCTATAATAAGCGAAAATATACACAATGTAGTAGGAATCCGTACACTTTACCATCATCGACAAAAATAAATTTTTCTTCATCAAAATATCATATTATTTTAAATAACCGATCAATTGATAATGATGATGATCATATTGTACCAGATCAATAGCTATTATTTAGTTTATTTTACTTTATTTTTCGTCTACGTGTGTACACATGTATAGTATTGAGTGTACATATATTTTTTAGAATTCATTATCTAATATTTGTTTAAATAATTAATTGTTTATTATTGATTATTTAATTATTTTACATTGGATGATGATGCATGTGGATAGAAAATTAGACTAGAATACATACTGCTGGCAGTATAGGTGATGTATCAATTATTTTTTGCGATATTCTTTACAAATTAATAACAAGTGCATGTATATTATGGGCAATAAAATTTGATATGATATTAGTTCTACCTTCTTAAATAATTGTTTAAAGTTCTTGTTCAAAGATTGCTGTTTGAGAGAGGCTTGACTGAGCATCGATATTCCATTTTGTTATCATACTCTGTTTCATTTGCTCGTCTCTCACATATGATGTGTCCTCTTTTGATAACTCAACCTAAAACGTTTCTTTTTGTCATGAAAAATTGGTAAATCTGTGAGTGCTATTGAGTGCTTGATTTTTTAACTAATAAGACGAAAACGTTAAACAAAAATTATACTTAAGAGCAGGTTTATCTCAGACAGATCGTCTGAGATAGCTTCTTCTTAGTTGTTAAAAAATAACAAAAGGTTGGAGCACAGATTCTGACAATTCTAAGCAAATATTTTAAACTTTAATTTGAAATTTCATTTGAAAAAATTAGGAATCTCGTTTAGTAATTAGGTCTATTCTCAGATGTTTACTTTATTTTTTCTATAATTGTATTTTTTATGCAGCTGATCCACAATGTTATTTATGCTTTTTATAGTTGTAGGATACAAGAAAAAACAATCGAAATAATTGTCAAATTTTGCTATTTATAAATAAAAAAAAGTATATGCGTTTATTTTGTAATTTTAAATCTTTTTCCTATTGTTATTTTCTCTGCCAATGTATATTCACTAATAAAGGTGCTGGTCATTTCTCCTTGTTTTCTTTTTGTTACCGTTTGTGCTTATTTAAACAAAAAATATTCAACAATAAAATTTAATTTGTTTGTATATATAATTATGTCTGTTTTTTTTTCTGTTTCCCAAAAAGAATATGTAGAAATTTGTTTTGTTCTATTTGTTTGAATAATAAATCATTATAGGTCTTTAACGTTATTTCTCGAGTGTAAATGTTATTGAGGAGGGACATCATTCTTCCGTTAATTTTTTTTCTTTTATTTACTGTTGTTTATTTGTGTACTCTTATGCTTTCAATCAAAAATATACCGTTACAGTTATTTGACAATAAATGATACATTTAGTATGTTGTATCAAACAAGAAGACCGTACTTAAAAGCAAGGCAGATGAGAATAGGATCGTCACAATTGGTTTTCAACTTGTCCACAAACCAAATTTTTTTTTTTGTTAGAAAATCTTGTACTATAGTTCTAACAGAAATTTGTATTCATTATTATGAAACTATTGTATTAGGAAAACTGAATATCTTTTTACACTGACAAGTAAAAGAAATCTATTTGTAACGTATATACAAACACAAAATACTTAAGCAGTCAGAAAAAAGACAGAATCGATACATGTACGCGCACGCATAAATAATTATTTAATAGACATAACTAAAGAGAAAAGAATAAAGACGAAGAACTACTACTATAATGTATACTAATTTCAAAAAAGAACTGTTTTTGTCTTATTTACAATCGATATAGCGGTAAATTATTATTTTCAATGGATAATAATACGTTTTCTGAATCAAGTACAGACGTAACATTATTTGTATGCATCTGATTTGTCAAAAGTTGTGGATGTAACAAATTGGTTTCCCCATCATCTTTACGATAACGTACACCATTATTATACTTTTTTTCTTGATACGGTTGTGAACGAATTGGAGATAAATTTTCGTTAGTCATTATAGCTGAACCTTCAACACGATGAATAGAATTCGCAAGTTTTGTTATTTGCTCATTAATAGTGATTTGAATTGGTGTACGTGATATACCTAAAACAAATGATTAAAGTGAAATAATCTTTTAAAGTAAACTGAACAGAGATGAGCCACTACACTTATAACTATGTTAGCAACCATTCGAGCTTTTGGTACAATTCATAGTAACCGCTGGATTTTTTTGTTGTATCAGTTGCAATACTGCCCAAATACATAACTTGGCACCGATAAAATCTATTTAAAATCCACTCAACTCCAAAAATGCCAACTCCTGCTTCTGAGTGCTCATAAACAATTCGGCTCACAAAATTCAAGACTTGAACGAAAAGAGTAATTTGTTAGCGAATTTTTTATTCGTCCTACCATCAGTTGGTGAACGTGGATCTGTTTGTAATTGAACAAGACGTTTAGCTTGTTTCGGTGGTGTTTGTACAACGAGACTATTGCCATTATTAGAATTTTTTTCCGAATATAAACGTTTGACATTATTGGCACCCATAACGGCGATTTTTTATGTGTGCGTGTACAAAAAAACCAATCTAAGATAATAAGAGTGAAGAATATTATTAGTATGAGAAAAAATTATCCATCTTGTACGGTGAAAGTGCAATACAAGCCACGCTTAACAGAAACAAAATTCTATAATATTGAACAACAATTGTTTGGACGTTGTCTGGAATAAAAGTGCAAGATTTAAATTTCTCTGTTTTAGTATTCTAAAAATTGGGGAATATCGTTTATATTGTGTTTTAATTTTATTCAGAGCAGGGAGAACTAACTTTGTGATTGATTCCGTTTGGAACGATCAGTGAAAATTGATAACAAAAAATATTGTATATAACATCTATAGCAATGTTAGTTTATTTAGAAGAAAAAGGCATTTAGGTAAAAAGTAATTTATTCTAAGTCTCAACGAGACCATTTCAAAACACTTGAGACGGAATCGGTCAATTAAGACCGTGAAATATACGACTTCAGTTGAAGGGTGATAAGTGATTTCCAGTGAGCTATTCTGTGGACCCAACTTTAGACTTCTCAAAATATCTCAACATTTCATAGTCTGGGGGTGGAAACACTATTTTGACACGGCGATAAGTGGTTATAGATTGGAGTCATCGTCTAAATGACCATCGGTCTAGCGTTTTGATCATTGCTGGGTGAAGCGTGAGCAAAATGTATTGTCACTTTGAAAATTTAATTTTCGCTCTGTTCTGTCAAGAAGAACGTAGAAGATGTCGTGGTAAATTGGAGAAATCTACTTTGTATAAAATTCTCATTAAAAACAACGCTGAAATGGTCATCCGGTTGCGGACACCCACATCTGAGAACAGATATGCTATTTACAGCTTGCCATCTAAATAAAAAAAGCTAACTATAAAGGCCGTTTGACCAATTCGTACCCTGGATGGATAAATCGCCGCTTCTCAAACTAGTCATACGACCGACACAAAAATTCATGTAGAAAAACGACAAACTGAACGAAGAAAAAGTGCTTTTTTTTTACCACACTCGATAACCCAGAATGAGAAGCCAAGAATAGAAAATCTTCGGGGTTATCGAGTGGGCTGAATAAGAAAAAGCACTTTCTAGCAACTCTAAATGAACTTTATTTTTCTGCCGGTGATATTCCTCAGTCACTGCGGGTAAAGGCGTTATATTGTACGAAAGGAAAACAAGCAAGCCAGGCAAAGAGACGAGGAAAGAGCTAGGGGCGACGGCAAACCGCTTCTTTTCTTAATCTAAATTTATCTCGAATAAAAGAATAAGTGAGAAACGTAATACGACTGTGCACTTTATAGCACTTTTTACCGCTTCGTACAATTATAGTTTGAGATTACCTTTAGCAATATGTTTATGCAATAACTTAAGCTAACAATGACCATTGCATTTGTCCATCGTAGAGGCAACAGGTAAAATGCTGACTAGACAGACGATGGTACCTTGTATATTTGGTCATTGGTCAAAGATACAACCATCTACCCAAATGCGACGTTCTCTCTTTTCCACTGTTCTCGACTACTTTCTTTCGTCTTTCTTAAAAGTATCCATGTTATTGAATTTGAATATATTGAAAAAATATAATGAATATGTGTAAAATAAATCAACCTGTCTGTCTGTTCTCATCCTATGCTTAAATTTAAAAAGTATTGACAGTAGCTTCGATCGAACTGCACAGTCATTGCCAATAAAAATTTCTATCTATTAATGCCTATTGTTACATTGTTTTCTAGTAAATACTTGCATTTCAGTCTTAAAATGTTTAGATTTTACGAACTAAATATTTTTCATACGCTATAAATGCTAAATTATGTATAAATTTATGTCTAGCCATCGTTATAGTTAAAATAAGGCTTTAAGTCTAACGCTGATCTTCTGATTAAATTTCTGAAACAAAAATAAGTTATGTACTGAAAACTATTTATGATGTACGATTATTGTCTTTTTTATCGATGTTACAAGCGTAAGAATGATTTGCCTATATCTGCCTCAAAATAGACACGTTTACCTGTTTGTAAGCAGTTATATATTTGGATTTTAAATTGCAATTTTTCAATTGCAACTTGTTAAATTTGAATATGCTCCTCATTGTGTGCTTTTCAGATATTATGTAATGAGTTCTAAGTCGAGACCAAGATGTTTCTTTGACGTTAAAATCGACGATAAAGAAGGTATTTATTGTGCTCCCTAATATGTACTTACTTTTATAATTGTTTTTGTTATTTTTAGTTGGTCGCATTATATTCGAATTATTTAGTGAAAAATGTCCAAAGACCTGCGAAAATTTTCGATCATTATGTACTGGTATGTAGCTGATTTGAAGCTGAAGTTTCTACCGCTGCTATTTCGCTTGTCTGAAGTAATTGTGACTCGGACCGCTGAATATTATAGGTTAATCGTATGATTTATATCCTGTTATTTTTTTTTGCTTTAGGCGAATGTGGAAGTGGATTAACAACATATAAAAAACTACATTACAAAGGATGTTGTTTTCATCGTGTTGTCAAAGATTTTATGATACAAGGCGGTGATTTTTCAGAGGGTATAGTTCACTCAAAGCTAAAATAAAAGTTCTTTCTTACCCTTTTTGTAGAAATCTTCATCTTTCATTTTTTTTCTGTTGAATGATGTGTTGTGTGATTAAAATTGCGCATCTTCTTTTAGTGTTTACTCTTTCATATACCAAATTTACTGAATTGCTGCTGAAATATCACACATCTTTAAAACGTCATCATCATCAACAGAAACACATACATATATAACATATATGTGTACGTGTACGGCTAAAAAGTCGTTTAGCCGAGCACAATGTGAAAAGATATTTATGGAGGTTGTTGTTGTTGTTGTCCTCCTTTTGCCGGCAGACAGACAGAAAAATCTTTTCACCATCCGGATATGGTGTTAACCATTGTTGAGTTTTTTTGTAGGTAATGGAACAGGTGGAGAATCAATCTATGGCGGGTGTTTCCCCGGTAAGTTGTGCAAATACTAAATTACCTGCTCAAGCGCAGAAATAGAAGTGCTACGTCTAGAAGATAGACATGATAGATGATCTGATAATCTATTTCTGCGTTTGAACAGATAGCCGAAGATTGTTTGTAGTGTCTCTCTACCTTGTTTGTTTTTAAGATGAAAACTTTGATCTAAAACATGATCGTCCCTATTTATTATCAATGGCCAACCGTGGCCGAGACACGAACGGAAGTCAATTTTTCATGTAAGACATATGTGCTTGATTAAAAACTACATGAAAACTCTTTCATTTTTTTTGTTTTAGTACAACAGCTCCAGCACCTCATTTAGATGGGTATGATGGGTAAAAATTGATCATTCTGTTGAAATAATGACATTTTGTTTCAGTATACACGTTGTGTTTGGTCAAGTGATTACTGGTCAAAATTTAATAAAACAAATTGAAAATTTACCAGTTGACACGAATAATCGACCAAAATCTAATGTGACGATTTCACATGCTGGTCAACTTGTATTAGTTAAAAGTAAGGTGGTTAACAGTCTCAAAAAAAACAGCTTTACATATGAATGTGCCTTGTTGGGAAAACATAATATATGAACTTCTTACAGCAAATTTGAAACAACATGTCATTTGTTTAGAAAATGAAAAGTCAAAAAAACGTAAAAAGGATACGGGTGATAGTGAAAACCGGCGAAGTCGTTCGGATTCAAGTTCAAGTTCATCGTCATCATCAAGTTCAACAACGGTCAGTGAAACAAGTGTCGATGAATCAGCAACCACGACAGCAGCAGTCATTGCAGGGACAAATAATTTAGAAGATATTGGTGATGAAAATGACGAAATTCCACCAAAAACAAAAAAAGAAAAGAAAAAATTAAGTAAAAAAAAAAAGAAGAAAGAAAAACACCGTAAAAAGAAAAAGTATGCAAAAAAATTGGCTAAATTAGCAAAATTAAACGAACAAGATGATCACAAAGGTGAAGAAGATCCGCTACAAGAACTAGAGGCCAAAAAGTAAATGAAGCTGCAAACGGAGAAAATAATATGACATAAACTAATTTTTCTATTATCTTCAGAAAAATATCAAATGAAAATGAAGTTTCCGGGCGCGAAATGATGGGATTGAAAACAATGATCGATCCAGAAGAAGTACCAGAAATTCCTACACAAAAATTTTTACTGAGAAATGTTGGTGATGGACCAGCACAACAACAAGATCAAAGTGATCAAGATAAACAAACGTCCTACAATGATACAAATCAAAGGTGAGAAAAATCCGCCACAAAAACGAAAGATCAGAGTATCACGGAAATATCTTCTGCTATTTTTTCTACATTTTTACTGTAGAATTGTGCATATCAAGGAATTTGCGGATCTCTATAGAATTTAGTAGTTGAGTGTTTTCTACGATATTACTCATTGTCATCCTTTATCTTTTTTCATTTTCAAGGCAAACGCGTACTCAACGTTATGATCGTTATTATCAAAAAAAAGATGCCAATGGTAGACCTGTTAAAGGTCGTGGAAACTTGGTATGTGTTTTATATTTAAGAGATCTTTATTTTACCTTTTGTCTATTTCTTAAAGCGATACACTGGTCGAAGTCATTCGCGTTCTATAACTCCACCTCACTGGCGTTCGGCATTACGAGATCGTGTACGTCTTGAGGAGAGAAAAAACGAAATGATTACAAGTGCAAATAATATAGCTGTTGAATCACAGGGCAGCGCGTAAGATTAAAAAGTAGAATAGTATGAAAATCTAAACTTTCTAAACTATATTCTGTTTAGAAACATCAGCTCCAATGAGATTTCTGATGAACATAATCAAAGTTTAAAGCGTCCATATTCTCGTACAAATACTGAAGGTGAGTTACAAGGCCAAAGACAACATTCGTCATATGAAAATCAAGAGAACGAAGATGTTATTGAAGCTAATTTGAGTAAACGTTCAAAACGAAATGAGAGTTTTTCTAAAACATCTCAAAAACAATCAATTCCAAGTGTTATTCGACGAACGTCACAAGAAAAATCACCACCAAAACAATCCTATCATAATCACCAGCAACATTATCGAAGTGAGAGAGGAGATAGGGATCGACACCATCATCGAACATCAACACGACACGCAGATGATGAATCAACCAATGAGAATAATACAAGAAATACAAAACATAACGAAAAAAATAAGCCGGAGAGCAGTAAAGAACAAGGTAAGTCTCAATTATAAAAACGAGACTGCAATTGAATACAAGTAGAATCAATACACTTATAATAATTCCGTTAGAAAATATATTTCAAAACCAAGTTTGTCGTAAAGAGATTTTGACATGCGTTTTCCTTGATGGCAGAGGAACAAATCAGCATTTGTAGAAAGATATGTTTCTAGTAATGTTTGTGATTTTTTTGCTTTGTAGCTGGTACAACAACGTCGACAAATATAGATGCAGAATTATCTAACATAGCCAAAAGTCAACAACAGTCATCCTCGGGTAATGTTCGTCGTTCTCGTTCAAATTCACCAGCGGCTATGGACCATCGTCGTACAGATTCTTCACGTGGAACAAAAGACGACCGATACCAACGAAAAGACTCTTCCTATCGTCATCAGCAGGATTCTAGGGAAGATCGAAATTATCCAAGTAGCACTGCCAATAATAGAAAAGAATCAGATTCTCACCATCGTTCATCATATCGCAGTAACCGTGAGAAAGAGCGAGACCGTGAATCACCGAAAAGAACAAATCGTTCACCTTATCATTCATCCTCTTCTCGACGCTATGCAGAACATCGGCGTACACCTTCACCGTCAAAAGGTGATCATGGAGTCAGAAAAACAACAGAAAATAAATCACCAGCGAAGCAGCAACACCAACAACAAGCACAGGTAAGCGAGAAATGCAGTCTCATTGATTTGCTATGCATTTTCTGCATTTTTACACTAGTGAAATTAAATACTATTGAACCTACTACCTGAAATACTATATAAGTCAAAAAACTTTGGGAAGTTTTATTTAAGGAGACTGATCGATTAATGATACGATGAAATCTTCTGCCTACTTTAGTAACGTGACAAGAGATTGCTATCATACATGTGACATTTAGCTTTTATCGAGATATTATGAGAAACAAAAAGGAGAATTTGATTTTGACTTTCTGTATGTTTATTTGTTTATAGGTTGAACCGACACAAAATATGATTTCCAATAATAGTACTTCTGTACTAAGTGAAGAAAATACCTCAACCGACCCATCCCGCGATCATGTTTCTTCAATCATAGCAGCATTACGAGAAGTGGCTCATCAGCCCCCTCCTCCGCCTCCTCCGCCACCGTCTGCTCCAGTCATTTCAAATATGCAAGTTCCTGTTCAATCTGCAACAACAAAATCTCGAAGTCGTTGGGAGAATGCCGAAGATTTTACGTTTCGCCAAATTGTTGCAAGTGCAACAGTCTTGGCCAGTGCCACTGCTCATCATACGTCCGATAATGAAATGTCCCTTGAAGATGAATTGAGAATGATTGCGAAATCCTCGGGTACATCAGCACCTACAGTCGCCGAAACTAATTTATTCCACGAAATACAGCAGCAACCAATCTATCGTGAAGATATTCCAGTCAAATATAGCGAACATGAAGAGCCAAAACAAAAGACAAATAAACCTATAGATGTTTCCCAAACTAAAAGTCCGTCGTCCACGACAAAGTCAAAATGGGATGACGATGAAGAAGAGAACTATAATAAAATGGACGTCCAAGTACACCCGGCGCGAACGGAAGAAAAAGTACAACGACCTCAACATGAGCAAATTTTCCGCACAAAATCTCCACAGAGAAGTGAAAAAACGAAAAGTATGGGCGATTCAGATGTTGGTGATTTAGATGAACAGAATGAAAGAGAGAATAAGAACAAACCAGAAAAGTTGAACGTTTCAGAGAAGAGTGAAGCTTCATCGAAACGGTAGGTCCTGTGGGTTTTGATTAATTATGTTGATACTAATTCATATATAAGTACAATTTTGTGGTCGTTTTATGTCAACTCAAGCTGCTCGGAAAAATGATTCTTACTAAAACTAAAACAACGTATTCTTTGTGCAGAAAAATATGCAGCAGGACTAACGAGTGATTTGATCTCAAAAAAAAAATCGCAATCAGCAGTTATATTGAACGATGATTTATTGATGTATATAACTAACCGTTTACATATTCAATTACATCATAATATTACTCCTCTCTATTTATAATAGTTTTTTATCTACTTCAGCACTTTATCTTTTATATAGGGTTTATATCTTTCCTATTTCATTTTTCGTTAAACAATGAGAGTATTTTTCTTTAAGTGGTATTTCTTTTTTCTTATATAGTTCCCGAAACAACTCTTCTGCCGATAAATATTCACCATCGAAAAAATCTCATCGTAGTCGTTCAAAAAGCCCACCAGCTTCAGTTTCGAAAGAATCATCTTCTAAAGTTGGAAAATCTACTACACCGAGTAAAAAACGTGACGCTTCTACATCGTCCACATCATCAAGCAATTCATCAAAATCTTCAACTTCAAAAGGTTCGAAAGCAAGTGACGGTGATAAAGGCAAAAGAGCACAAAACAAATCTTCGCCTCAAAAACCAACCTCAAAATCGTCTTATCGTAGCGATCGTGGTGATCGAGACAGACGAGATCGCGACAGACGTTCCAGAAGTCGTAATCATTATCGTTCATCGTATAACTCGTCATCATCACGTGCAAGAAACTATTATGATTCGGGTGAGTTTGAAGAGTATTCTCTACTAAAACAATTGTTTGAAGACGAGTTTGCTAGATCCTCAAAAGTACTGTTGTCACCAGTTGAGGGTTATAGGAGTTTTTAGGAATTTTTTCTGCTATAAAGTAGAGCAAAAATTATTTATAAAACTATCTGGTTTTTTTAGGTCATGACTATGATCGAGGTTATGGTGGTGGCAGTAGCAGTAAACGATACGAAAACAGTCGACGAAATGACTATGGCGACAGATATCATGACGATAGACACCACAGTGACATAAGATCAGATCGACATCGTGACAAAGATTATGAGAGAGACAGAGGTACGTAAAGTTACAAAACTTTTCTTAAGTATTGAGATTCTGAAGGATGTTTCACTGAAAAGCGAACGAATGATGGGCGTAACATTTATCTCCTAATCGTTCTTTTCGAGCTATACTTTATATACGGTGAAATCAGGCAAAATTAAAGTACAGCATCGCCTGAATTTATTAGTTCATTTATTGGTGAAGAAGCATTGCGCGCTGATAAATAACGTGTCATTTATATAACTGATTTAGGTCGAGATCGTCATTTAGATCGAAACGACAGATCATCTGGTCGGCGACGTACATCATCTCGGGATCGAGATCGTCGTACTGATTTGGAAAGAAAAGGGAGAAAATCATCTACTTCCACGGTTGAAAAAAACAAAAATGTCGAAAAAAAACCAACATTGAGCCATTTAGAACAAATGACTGAACAAAAACCAGTTTCTGACGGCTCATCTTGTAAGTTTTTTTCATCAATCTTTGCATGTACAAATTTACACTATATTCTCACATTTTAGCATCCGATTCCTCTTCGAGATCATCGTCGTCTGATTCTTCGGCTTCTAGCAGAGAATCGCCAAATCATTCGAAACGAGATTCAGATAAAACTACAACAGAAAAAAAAGGAAAAGAGAAGTTGTCATCACCACACCACAAACATGGTAGTCATCATCGACATCATAGATCGAAGTAAGTTTTGAAAGTCAGATGATCGAATAAATGGCGAAGAGTACTAGATCCAGAAGCCTTTACGATTACAACAGTTAGATACCAATTCTTCTTGAGGGACAAAAATTTCTTCATATTAGCTTTGTTTTTAACGAAAATCGAAACTATCTTCTTCCGAAGTCATTTAGGCTATCTTTTCATTATTTCACAGTCTAAATAGAAAAATATTTCTTGAAACGATTATGACTGATTTGATTCGTTTTTATTCCCATTTTAGCTCCAATGAAGATCTGAAAACGTCAAAAAAGTCGTCTGATTCGACAACTCCATCCAAATCTAGAGGCGAAACTGAGATTTTTGACACAGATTATGAAACCGCACAACCACGTATCGTACAACCGGAGAGAAAAATTCGTATTGAACTTTCATTCGACAAACAAACACCTCATCCACCACCTGAAACGTCATTACCTACACCACCGCCGTGAGTATTTCGTTTTACTGGAAGAAGCAACATCACTCATATCAGTTTTTTATATAATACAATACTTGAGTGGACAATCGTAACTAGTATTCAGTTTTTTGAATTATTTTAGACCTCCATCCTCACCACCTCCATCACCAACAAATGAAGAAAACCAGCAGAAACTACACACGTTAATAGATCCGGATGTATCATTTATTTCAACAACAACAACGGTTACAGAAACAACAACGACTACAATCACTAAGGAAAGATACGTGGGTGAACGACAGGATGAAGACATGGAATTGAGTGATACTGAAAGAAGTCCAGAACAGCAACATTATCAAAGAAAACAAGAGAGAATACACTCCTCACCATCAAGTGAAGCTAATGTACAATTGGATTCGGAATTTTTTTCAAATGATGTATCACAACCAAAAAAAAGACAAACAGAATCAAATTCACATAAACAAAGTCAACGTAGGTTTTCATTAAGAGAAAGGCTATCTCTTTTGAAGTGTACTTTTAACTTTTAAAGTGTTTTTTTGTGTTTTTCTAAATAGAACTTTATTCATCGGATAATGAAAATGATAACAGTATGGATTTAGATAGTGTACCATTACCCACAGATGAATCAAACAGAATAAAAAATGACGAGAGTAGAAAACAACAACAGCGTTCAAGAAATCGAACTTCAGATTCAAACTTTTCGCATGATAGAAAAGAAGAAAGAAAACAACGTCGATCTAAAACACCTTCACCGTCACCACGACGTGTTTCAAAACAAGAAACAAAACCAAGACAACATTTGAGTGAGAGTGGCGAAGAACAAGAGATACAACGTCGACATCAACACCGAAAAGCTGATGAAGCAATAGAAAAAAGTGAACAAGTTAAGTCAAATACCGACTCAAAGCAGAATGAGGTACGTTTCAAAAAAATAGTTTCAAAGAAAGAGTTCAAAGAAACAGTTGTTTTTCATGTGGAATATTTCAGCGTAGAAGAACATTGATAACTCTTGTTATATTGAATGGGTTGTTAAGGTGTATTATTGTTTCTTGTTTTAGATTTCATCTAACAGATCGTCCAAACATGCGGATTATTCACAAGAACCTCAGAGAGATACAAAGTTGTCAAATACTGTTTCGTCACATCAGAGCACGAAAGTCGATGTTTTACCATCTAATAAAGAACAACAACAACATGATAAACCATCTCAAAAAGGTCGAAGTTCACGCTCATCATCCGCCAGTTCGAGTTCCTCTTCGAGTTCTCATTCTTCATCCGGAAGTAGTAAGTTATTTAAAAATATTTTCGTCATCAAGCTAACTAAAATGTCACTATATATCTATTACTTCACAATATATTCTAGAGAGCTCATCTTCATCTTCGACGTCAGCTAGTAGCTCAAGTTCATCGTCGAGATCACCTTCACGAAAGAATCGGTAAGCATAACGGATGACTATGACTAAAAAAATATGCTTCGAATTCAAAGAGATCAGACTTATTACTATATTTTCAAGAGCATCTGTGAGGGCGACCTATAAGATAATATATACTCAACGTTTAAAAATTACTAATTATCTTATGAACTTATGTTAAAGTGGAATCTGAGTAATTGCTCGAATTAAGGACACACTCCCCCCTCTTTTTTTACAAAAATTTTTGATTTGATACAAAATGTGGTTTTTCACTTATGTGCCTAACTTGGTTACCTTACGACCGACCAAAAATCTTATCTGATCGAGCTGAAAATTTCACCGCAGATACTTCAGAGGATATCTCAGATCTCAATTTTCTTTTTCGTTCTTAACTTTTCCTTCGCGAGTTGTAGGGTTTTTAAAATCAAGAGCTTTAGTTTTTCGAAGAACCATTTTCATTTTTTTTATAACTCGAGAAGGAAAAGTCAAGAACGAAAAAGAAAATTGAGATCTGAGGTATCCTCTCAAGTACCTGTGATGAAATTCTTAGCCCGATCGGGAGGCCGTTATGTAACCAGGTTAAAAATCGTACCAAAAATTTTGCCAGATGAGTCTGAACAAAAATACATCGATTTTCTTTTTCGATACTCTGTCTAGTAAAAATTCGGGTTCAATCGGATCGTTGCTTTACGTTTGCAAGATAGTAGGAAAAGAGAGGGGTACCCTTAAAGTTCAACCAATATTTCATGCTTTCACTCACTAGGACACAAATACGAAAGAGTTGTCGTATTAACTTGAATCTTTATCTTTATTTTAGGAATGACCATGATCGTCGTCCCCATCATTCATCAAAAAATAAATACTCCTCTCGTCGTGCACAATCGCCTCCTCGTTCGTCTTCATCACGCGTGACTGCTAGTACAAAGCGATCAAGTAACAATAATGGCAGTTCATATCGTCCTCGATCAAGTGAAAGGAATAGCAGTAACTATTCATCTTCACGTAGTACTAGACATGAAGATGTACACCACGATTCAAAGTATAAGAGTAAACATTAACACTTTTGTCTCGTCTTCTACCTGTCTTTATCATTTAATAACTAAAAGAGTGTTCAGCTCGGTTTTTCTATTGCCATTTGTATGCGTGGTGTTTTTTCGCACTGTTTTTATCATACGCGCATTTATATGAGCTGTAAAATAATTTCTAAACTTAGTTTCTGTTCCTTATATACCATTTGTCTTTTTTTCCTGTATTTAGTGTGATGTTTTCTTCGTCTCGTTTGTTTCTAATCTCGTCTTTGTACGCAGCCAATGTTGTTTTTTCTTTTCCATACACAATACATTCTCTTGTAGTTGTATTTTGTCTTGTCAAATTTTTTGTTTGTTTGTGTTTTCGTGTGAAAAAAGACATTTGATCGACACATTCAATTTATATGTATAAAAAGAAATAAGAAAAACATTGTTGATTTCTCTTTTTAACACACTGCATACTCAACTATTAACTTTTATTTAAAGTAATGTTGAGTGATAGAGTAAAATAGAAGATTCTAAGTAAGGATTATGTGCAATAATTTATGAGCTAGTCTCTTCCGAACAGTTCTGAACTTAGTGTTGAAGTTCGAGTTTTCGGAAATTTAAAAGACGTTTGTTTGTTTTAAAATTTACAGATGATGAATTCAGTATTATAGTACAAGTATATTAAGTTTTGAAGGTATATGAAATTTTTTGGATGACATAAATACACGTGTGCTAAAAGAATCTTTAAGATTATATATAAAAAAGTGTTTCTGGTATTGCTTGAACGTGCCTGATTGAATGTAAGATGTTGCAACTTTTTATTCTGTCTTCTGTACACTAACTTAAGTTCGTCATTTGTGAATTTTAAAAAACAACAACATCTGTTCATTTTTTTTTCACTAAATTTGGCTTTATCGTCATATTTTTCGCAGAAAAGATTTCACAAGATAAGGGCTTGTGATTCTGGATAGGTCAGCAATAACATAAATATTAGGAAGAGAAGTGCCTAACAGAAATGGGATCCTTTGTGGGTTTTTTTTTGAAACCGGATTGAAACGAACCGAAAGGTTCTCTGAACCGAACCGGGCTGAATCAATAAACTTTTTTAGAAGTAACTCAAGATGAAAAACAAGAAAATCCTTTCTCTTCATTAATTGAGGGTGACATCCTCGTTTTCATTTTTGTTTTCATGTTCGTTTTTTCTCTTCTTTTCAATTTCATTTACTTCAGTTTCATAAATAAACAAACACTTTATTTGTTATCACCAAAAACAGCTGTTCTATAAGAACAAGAGAATAAAAACAAAGAAAAGCATCAGATAAGCGTTTATTTATTCTCTTTTAAGAATATTTTTTTGATAGAAATTTTTGAAAACAATATCACGAACCGTTCTGGGGCTAATTGTGCCCGTTTCTGCGTAATTCTATTTCCAGCCACCCTGAATTCTCTTTCAATGGCAGCACTTGTAACTGGCAGAGGTGAGATTAATACGGTTTGAAACTGAACAGATCTCGCTTGTATTGCCTAAAACAGTTGGGTTTAGTCAAAAAAAAGTCGAACTGGATTGATGCTTCTTTTCCTTTCTTTTGACGGAAATTCTACCAGATCTACAAAAGAAAGTTCTCAGATGCGAGACAGAAATACACAAGTCCAAATCCGATTTCGAAAAAATCTTCTGACGGACTTGACTCAGAAGTAGTTGAATTTGCCATTTCTGCATCGAAAACACTAATAAAAGATAGGATTTTCACAAAGCAACGGAATGTTGTCAAAATATCAAACTTTTGTTTGCTTTGAGTGATTTTTTCCAACATGAGTAACCGTTATGTAACAGTACAGATATAATTACCCGTTTAAAAATCGTTCTTTAGTTTTCACCTCTACAAGTTCTTAAAACATCTCCCGCCTGGACTAAAAGTCACTAAAAGTTCACAGATGTTTCATGAGATTTACGAAATTTCTCTGCAAAACTCTGCTCTGAAAAAAAAGTATGATTCATTTGGACGTTTTGTAACTGAAACTTTTTTCATAGGTAGACTGAATTTACGATGTCTGTTGCAAGGCTCTAACATCACCCTGCTTTTCTAGTTAAAGTTTTTCAACACTGGCTACGAGCTTTTTGAACCCATGCAAAAACGATCCAATGTTTTGGATCATTTGTCTATACTCAGCTGCATGTACATCTAGTTGCACATGCACCTGAATCTATATAAATGACCCAAACAAATTGGATCATTTTTACATGCGAATCAGTCTAAATGTAGTCTAACACTATTATATTCGATGAAAAACAAGGATACGCAAGTTGATGCTCTAATCGATTACTTATAGGGTTATTTTATATCGAACAACGTGATAAATAAGCTAGGACACTCGTGTTACTATTCGTGATTAAATCACGATTATTTCTTTTTTTTTACTCTATAGTATTGAAGTTATAGGATCCAAAAGTCGAGCAGACAACAGTAATAGTTATAGTGTCATAAAATACTTCTACTTCTATCTAAGATAATATGAAAATTTATTCTAGTTATTTTTGTTACTTCATAAAAAAAATAGAATAAGAGACGTGTGTGTTTGTGATAATATTCAGTTATTCTGACGTTCTGACGTTTTCTGTATAAATAAGCATTTTTATCGACAAGCAATAACTATAAATTTTAGTTGCTGTATGTAGTGTCTGTATGAATGTCAGTAACATTTTAAGAAAATAGCGTTTCATGTTTTGTGTGATGCATTTTTCGATTTTTATCGGTACTTTAGAGTAGTTATTAGCCTTTTTTTCCTATTTTAGATCTGTTTTGTTTAAATCATGTTTGTTTTGAAATGATGTTTAGTGCTTCGCCGATAACTGATAGTTCAACTGGTTATTCTTCCAACTCAACTAGCGATAATAGATCAACAACCACAATGTCTTCTGCCACGAATCTTTCATCACCAACAACGCCTTCTTCTACTTCTACTTCTACTTCTTCCTCTTATATCACTCGTCCTCGAATATTATTAACCGGCTTACGTCGTAGTGGTAAAACATCAATACAAAAAGTGATATTCAATAAAATGCAACCATTAGAAACAAAATTTTTAGAATCAACTAAACAAATGCTAACAACTGATTTTACATGTGGATCATTTATTAATTTTCAATTACAAGAAATACCTGGACAATTATCATTATTTAAAGATCAAGATACATTAAATATTGAACGATTATTAAAACAATGCAATGCTGTTGTTTATATTATAGGTAAGAGAGAACATATCATTAATACGGTAACATTGCTACAGTTGTAACAAAAGAAATAGAAAAATATGGCAATATTGTTATGTTTTAGATGCTCAAGATGATTATCAAGAATCGATTCAACGTTTAATATTAATTATTCAAAATGGTCATCGTGTTAATCCTCGAATACGCTATGAAATATTTATTCACAAGGTCGATGGTCTAGTAGAAGACACAAAAATAGAAACACAGCGTGATATTCATAATCAAGTATGTGATCGGTTAGAAGCTACGAATAATAGAGCCGCCGGTATTAATAATACTAGTGATGGACAGATTTCATCCACGTATCTGGATGCATATGATATTCTAATTACTTTTCATTTGACATCAATATTTGATCATAGTATATTTGAAGCATTCTCAAAAGTTGTACAAAAATTATTACCACAATTTCACTCGTTGGAAAGATGTTTAAATTTATTATTGAGTAGTTCAAATATTGAACAAGCATTCTTATTTGATGTGCAAACAAAAATTAGCATTGCCAATGACTCATCACCAACTGGTAAGATTATGGTTGACTAAAGTATAAATGAAGAATATTTTCTATGTTTTAGATATGCAAATGTATGAACTATGTTGTGATATGATTGATTTATTATTGGATTTATCAAATATTTACGGGTTACCACCAAATAAAGAACGAGCAGCTAATGATAGTCCTGTTGAATCTGATTCTGAAGATTCAGCATACCCGGAGGAACCTGCTAATTTCTGGGATCAGCATGGTATGGGTAATGGTATGAATGGTGATGATGATGATCTACCTCAAGATATGAATTATAATAGTCATAATGGAAATTCACCCCAAAGTACAAGTCTTGCTTCTTTATTCTGTTTGCTTAATTTTAACTTTGCTTTTTTTTAATTTTATAGCTGAATCTATTGATGATGATATCATAAGTACAACTCCCACCCAACCAACATCGGCACGTTTAACGCCTCCTACTCATACTGGTGGAATTGTTCATCATACAACATCAGCTCCTGCCTTCTCCGTATTTGATAGTATGTCATCATCTATTATCAAATTAACTGGCGGTCGTGCTTTATATTTAAAAGAAATCAATCGTCATCTAGCCTTAATATGTATCCTTCGAGAAGAAGCATTGACCAAACAAGCTATTATTGATTATAATGTAAAACAATTGAAAAAAGCAATCATTAATATATTCAAATTAAACTCAAAAGGAAACAATCATAATAATCAAAATATCATACAACAAGATATGACTGATATTATTAATTAAATAAAATAATTAATTAATAAATTAAGAGTGTTATAAACCGGTGTTTGCGCATGCTTAAAAAACTACACAGTAGTACATTAAGAATTTCTTTTGTTTCCTTAATTATTCTTCCCGTCCCGATTGTCTATTTTCTCTTTTGTACTTTTTTTTATTGGTTAGTCTCACTGTTAGACATATGTGACTAACCAATGAATGTCATACACTGTGACATTCTTACCTTTTCCAATATTTAAGCCTAAAAACTTAGAACATCATAGAAAGTGGATCTTTTAACAGATACGTTCTACGCAAGTTTTTTATTTTATCAAAAAGGTTTAGTAAAAGTGTTTTTGTGAATTTTATAAAAATCACGCTAATTAGTAGATAGATAAATAAACTTTATTCTGTTATGTTAAGTAGAATGAGCAGTTGTTTGGCTTCACTATCTTCTTCTATTATACTTCGCTCAGCAAACAAACTGTGGTTAATATGTGTGACTTTTGAAATATCAAAACAGTTTCATCAAGTAGAAATTGTGACATTGACAATCTTTTAAGAGCTTAAGAATAAGATTTTTGATAATAAGAAAAAGTTTATATTGGTATGAACATAAGTGATCTTCTCAGGGGGCAAATATTTTTGCAACACAAAAATAAAAATTTTCTTTTGAAAAATTAAATACCTCGTTCACTCAGGCTCAGTATGATCTTTTGTTCATATATCTTTCGCGGATTAGTTTCGTCTTCAACGTATGTATGATGACTTCTGTTTTGTTGATACATCTACATTGAATTTGAAAATGTAAAGTTGAGTGTGATTATAACTGGTATTGTCCTCCTTTCGCTCGATTTGTTTGTATATATCTTTTTCTCTATTATTTATCATTTTATTACGATTATTGTTATATATTTTGATGCATGATTTGTGTACCAATGTGTGTCTATCTTTTTTTCTATTACATACAACGCTCATACGATACACATTTTTTTCGTTCTGTTTATTTGTGGTTTTCCTTTCTTTTATTTTACACGATTAAATTGTTTGTTCTTTTATATTTGATGAACCAAGCAACAAAATCACAGGAAATATTTTAACAGTGAACCCCTTTTTTCGTTTGTTTGTTTTCTACAATTTTGTTCTTTTTTTTTCTTTTTCTTAGAAATACAAAGTATAAAATAGATGTGGCTAGATACGTACAAGGGCATTAAAAAAAGAATTAGTTCAATTACTCTTACAACTGATTGATTTCATATCAATGAAGTTCAAAACACACTGCAAATCAATACGTTTCTTTGTTGAATTTCATATATCATTTTATACGAGAATGAATGTCATACAACTCAAATTAAACTTTTTGCGAAAGATCCCCGGACTTCACAGATGATTGACAAACAACTGTGTACAACTGAGGGACTGACGATAACATACTTCTGCAATAACCTTATACTTCATTCTAACGACATAATCTTTTAAAAGAAATTCAATTTACGGTTTGGACTCAACTACAAATTATACTCTCAACTGACATACAATCCACATTTTAATCAAGTATCTCTGTTAGTATTTCTGTGAAAATACGCGTTTCTCGACCGAGATACAATTTTCACACGTGCGTTGCAACGTGCTATTGTGCAAGAGTGCACTGTACTAAGGTCTACTATCCGAAAGTGAATGAAATGAAATTAGGTATATGACGTATCTCTATTCACCATCTAAGGAATTATTGTCACATTACATGGTCAAATGCTGTGTATTTTCATATCGATTGGACATGGATACCACTTAACACGTTATTTTATCGTTTTTTAAAACAACTGAACAAGAACAACTATTAACTGTACAAACCCATCTTTTACTTCCATATTTATCCGTACGTGAAAAAGATTTTCTTGAAACAATATGGAACGCCTCTTTCAGTTTCTTCTCGACCAACGCTACAACTAAGATGTGTTTCGACAGTTGCATACAATCGATGCTGAACCATTAACATTGTCAAAGCTTTTGTGAGTAACAAAAAAAATGAATTTATACGAATTTAGCACTTCTTATTTAGCATTTTTAACTTATCTTCGACTCCATTGCTTTCGGGAAACTAGTACAACCATTTTTGGTCATTTTACAAATATTTTCAATTTTTATTTCTCAAAGAAGTAAAAAAAAGTATTTGAGTATATAACTGATTTTTAAAATATAGTCCTGATGTTCCCTGGACCTGTCAAAAAAGACAAAAAAAAATTGAACGATTACATTATATATAAACTATACAAAAATCATGGTCCACCCGTCTGAAGTTTCAAAAATTAATATCGTTTACTAGTACCAATTAGCTGCTTAGTATTCTTCACCTTCGCCTTCACCTTCACCTTCAACTGAATCAACACCAACTTCTTCATAATCCTAGAACAATAACGTAATTAAGAGTAAGGTATCCCAAAAAGATTAATGCGCTTACTTTTTCCAATGCGGCCAAATCTTCACGCGCTTCACTAAATTCACCTTCTTCCATACCTTCACCGACATACCAATGTACGAAAGCACGTTTGGCATACATTAAATCGAATTTATGATCAAGACGAGCCCATGCTTCTGCAATAGCAGTGGTATTTGATAACATACAAACGGCGCGTTGAACTTTCGCCAAATCGCCTCCTGGTACAACAGTTGGTGGTTGATAATTAATGCCGACTTTAAATCCTGTTGGACACCAGTCAACAAATTGAATTGTACGTTTTGTTTTTATTGTAGCAATGGCAGCTAAAAATCATTAGTGCCAGAAAACAGTCCCATACAATTGAGTACCCTTCTTCCTGACTTACCATTAACATCTTTCGGTACGACATCTCCTCGATATAACAAACAACATGCCATATATTTTCCGTGTCTTGGATCACACTTCACCATCTGATTTGCTGGTTCAAAGACAGCTAAAAATGAATATAACAAGACTCTTAACAGAAACTGAAGCAAGATTTTTCCTAGAAAATTACCATTTGTTATTTCAGCTACCGTCAGTTGTTCATGATACGCTTTTTCAGCTGAGATAATCGGAGCATAGGTGGCTAATGGAAAGTGAATACGCGGGTATGGTACAAGATTTGTTTGAAATTCCGTTAAATCAACATTCAATGCACCATCGAATCGTAATGATGCTGTGATGGAACTGACGATTTGTGCAATCAAACGATTCAAATTTGTGTATGTTGGTCTTTCAATATCCAAATTTCGTCGACAAATATCGTAGATGGCTTCATTATCAACCATAAATGCACAATCCGAATGCTCTAGTGTTGTATGCGTTGTTAAGATTGAGTTGTACGGTTCAACGACAGCTGTTGAAATTTGAGGTGCTGGATACACAGCAAACCTAAATATTAAACATAATAGTAGATAACCACCTTTAAGATCTAGGAAAACTTACTCTAGTTTCGACTTTTTACCATAATCAACACTCAATCGTTCCATCAACAATGATGTAAATCCTGAACCGGTACCACCTTGAAGAAAACAAGAATTTTTAGATATAACAAAAGCTTCGAATTATCAGAGGAACCTCTTCTTAACCGGATAGACTATATCTCTTTTTCGTATTTCTCAAGAAAATAACTAATGCTTACCACCGAATGAATGAAAGATCAAAAATCCTTGAAGACCAGTACACTGATCAGCTAATTTTCGAATGCGATCCAATACAAGATCAACAATTTCTTTCCCAATTGTATAATGTCCACGTGCATAGTTGTTAGCTATAAAAAGAGAATATCTGTATTCGTTCTCATGATCTATCACACGGTTCAAACTTACCAGCATCCTCTTTTCCTGTAATCAATTGCTCTGGATGAAATAACTGACGATACGTACCAGTTCGTACCTCATCTGAAATTGAGAACGAAATTAAACAGTCAAATCATACATAAAGTGTTTTATATGTTCTCGTACCAATGACTGTTGGTTCAAGATCGACAAATACGGCACGTGGTACATGTTTTCCAGCACCAGTTTCAGAGAAAAACGTATTGAATGAATCATCGCCACCACCAATTGTTTTATCTGACGGCATTTGACCATCTGGTTGAATTCCATGCTCCAAACAATATAATTCCCAGCAGGCGTTACCAATTTGAACACCAGCTTGACCAACGTGAATCGAAATACACTCTCGCATGATTGTTTACTATACACAAAGAAGACGAACATTCTACGGAAAATCTCAGTGTGAGTAAGAAAATAATTAGACATTTTCAAGAAGGTTATTAAATAGGCTAGTTACTACACTTTATCAACTTCTGTATAAACTGTAGTGTGATATTGTCTAAAACGATGACGGTCGTAGATATTTTCAAGAGACACAACGTTTCTTCTCAAGCGCAGTGCTTGCTTCAATTTCCTCGTACAGTTGAACAATTCCGAACTAGTTGATAAAAGATAATCTAAGAAGAGTAGGTGAAAATAGATCTATTTGAGAATGTTTTGTTTCAAATAAATCCGTAGACTCAGAGCCTAACCTATTTCTACGTTTTTTTTATTAAGTAAATACTAATTTGTGAAGTAAATACTTACTGTTAAAGTTTATGTATGTAAGAAATGTGTAGAACAAAAAAAAGAACTGCTACACTGCTACTTGGTGTTCTTATCGTGAATCGTTCTGTTTTACAAATGACAGTCAACTCCATTTAAATAAAACGTCGGTGGAGAGAAGAGAAAAAGGAAATCTATCTCATTTTTCTTCTCTGTTTTAGGGATAGTAGAAGAAAGTTAAAATTTTGACTGTTGTAGCACATAACGACGTGAATGTGTGAATGTGAATGCGCCAAGAAAGAAAAAATATTGGACGGCAGACAGGACAGTCAGGCAGAATGAGAGAATTTAACCCTTTTATTGCGATGATACAATCTCATGATTCATTCATTTAGACTTTTTTTTTTGTACTCTTTAGAAAAGAATTAAGAAAATAGGATTGATAGAAGAGAAGAGAACCGTTAACGACAACCAGAAACAACAATATTTTTATTCTAAAACCATTTCTTGGATACCAACATTTCATACAATGTGAATTTAAAAATTTCAGCTGTAGGAAGATGAATAACTCACATCTTCAGCGTCTGTCATTAACACTAATAAAAGTGGAAAAGAAGGGTCTTTAGATAAATTCGATGGAGAATAATAAAAACCGTTCTTCTCGGGGGTTTATCGCCTGTCTAGTCTATGTTTGATTAAAGTTTTAATAAAAAAGCTCGAGCGGCATAAAGACTTCGTTGGGATGTCATCCTATTTCTTTAGCATAAATCCAAGGTAACATTTCTGCACTGTCCTCCTTTTTCTGCCGAGTTGTTAGGTGTTAGAACTTGGAAAACTCAATTTTTAAGAAGGTTCTCTTTCTGTTTGCTATGCATTGGCGATAATGGATAATAAAACGAAGGAAAAGCAGCCACCTCACGAGTGTGGTAAATTTTTCTCAGCCTGTTCGAACTTGTTATTAACCAGGTTCTTTATAGATCTGTCCAATGATAATTATTTCATAGCACAATTCAACATATCTAGAGATTTGGGACAAAGGGAATATGTGTTTTGGAATTAGTCATGACCATAGATACGAGGTGTTAATTATTTTTCCTTTTCGTTTGGCAATAATTTTAGAAAAAGCTACACTTTAGTGTTGAATGAGGAAACAAAGTATCTTTAATGTATATCATAATTATACAGAATGATGATATTTTATGTCGATATCATACAAAGTTAATAGTTTGAGAACAGATGTTGTTAGATATGATTAGTAAAGATTGACTAGTATAGTGAGGTTTTGTTCTCATTTTATCAGAATAAAAAAACAGCTACTTTTATGCATAGTAAAGAAAGTTGAACAGAGAATTTTTCGTTTCTACTTCTTGTTTGCGTTACTATAGGTTTCACATAATATAATACTTTTAAAAGCACAGTATAATATGAAATTAATATTACAGACATATAGAATTGTTTCTTTCGAGTATTTCACAGACTCAATAAAAATTCAAAATTAAAGTAGCCTTAAGAAGAGTCCTATGTGACTAAATAACTTTGGGCCTGTATGTTTTTTCTGTGGATGTTGAAAGCTTCAAAACAAAGTTAAAATGAACCCTCGTTTCCTATACCATATTAACAGTGCGACAGCTTGTATTTTCTCCTTTTTATCGCTCAACTTTCAATATATTAAAAAATCAAATAAATCCTCCTACGAAAAAAAGTCATTTTTCAAGGCAAAAAAAAGAATAAAAGTTGTACGACTTTGAATGGCAAAACAGAAGCGCTCAGAAATAAGAACAAAAATACTGGCATATCTAATTATTTAACTATAGAGTCAAGAATAAAGACGTTACTCTCACTCTTCAATACTATCAGAAGTACATTTTTGGTGACAATTAATCATTTTTTCTAGTTTTCATAAAAGTGAGTTTGGATACCTTGGTTATTTCATAAAATCTCGATCTTATTTATTAAAATCATAGAGGAAAAGCTATTAATGTTTCTTGCGTATTTCAGACATGGGTTCTAAGAAAACGAAATTATCAAAGAACCATGTTCAAGCCTTTGTCAATAGAACTCACCGTGAGTTTTGTTTAGCTTTTAATTTCAAAACCACAAATTCTCGACCTTTTTACTTTAGTTCCGCCCGCTGAGATACAATCCATGTAGGTTAAATAGAAAATTATTATAAGCATCTAAAATATGATTAGCAATGTTTATGTTACTTTTAATCTGTGTATAGGTACAAAATATTCATGAAAGATTATCCACAGGGATATATACCAAATGTACATGTAAGTATTATATTTCCGATTGAAATCTTTAGCTTTTTTCAATAATCTACAAACGTTGTGTAATTAAAGTTTATTTCTATTATTTTCAAAACAACACTATCAATCTTAGAGAGGACTCGTCTATAATAATTCATTTTTTATTTATAGCAACTAGATGCTCTATTGAAACGCTATTGTTTGTGGACCAATGAGTATACGGATGCTAAACTTGTTGAAAGATTATTTCGTCTGTTCGATGTGGACAGAGTAAGTAAAATATTTCTATAATATCAAAAATATTATATAAAATATTCTTTTATTTTTATTTTAGGATAATAAAATTAGTTTTGCTGATTTCTTAATTGTATCAAGTATTTTACAAAATGGAACAACTAGAGACAAAATGAAACGTACGTATAATTAAACTAATAAAAAAATGAATTGAATTATTTTTACTTTTATTTAATCATAGTGTATTTTGAGACATTGGATGATGACAATAATCTTATTATAGATAGAGAAGATTTAAAAACTTGTGTAGCAAAACCGTCTAATATGTTAACATCAGCATCAACTTTGTCGACTCAAAACAGATCAACAGTTGAAAAATTATTAAATCAATGGGACATGGTAAGTATGATCATGCCTATAATAAAAAATGTAGTACAGAAGAGAAGTTGTTCATTCTGATGCTTTACTGAAACCAAATACTCCATATTTTTGAATGTGTTTAGGATAAAAATGGTGCTGTGGATTTCAATATGTTTCAAAAATACATTTTCACTTGTCCCGGCCTTTTACAAATTCTCGATGGTGAACGTCATTATTTGAAAGTTGAAAATGTTAACGTTAATACGAATAATAATAATAACAATATGGATACAATTCCTGCAAGTTATTATAGTTTCTAGAATGATCACATTCGTAATTTTACAGATATTTTTCTTTTTAGGCAATTTTTTTGTATATAAGTCTTTATATAAGCCGTCTGTGATAAGTTTTGTTTTCTACTGAATGTCATCTATAATTTAAAGCTAATAATTATTTTCAATAAGCGCTTAAAAACCAAAGACTAATGATTTTCATTAAATTGTGTCAAGTAAGAGATCATACAACATTTATTTCAATTGTGTTGTTATACATACAAGAACAAGAGTAGTTGAAATAAAGAGAGATAGCAGAAAACAAAATGAAAAGAAAATAGTATTTACACATGCTTTTCAAGATTACCTAAAATTTAAGAGCAAAAGGTACTCCGAATTGATGGTAAGGTAACTGGAAATCAACGACCCTGTGGGCAGATTGGAAAGCGAATCAGCCCAGTGAAACGAATTTTAGAAACATTTTGGACACCATTTAAATCCCTTAGACCTTTGCAGAATCCGTTAGAGTTGCTTTTTCTGACTTCACAACCTCTTCATGTTTGTATCAACTGTTAAGCATCACCTGGCCATTAATTATCTCATAGAGAAAACAGCTAAGTTCTATCAAATATATACTCACTTTGTGCGTAATTACATGATCTTTAAAACGTATATCGAAAAGGTGACGTCAGAGGTGTCATTTACCGCTGTTCTACGTTCGAATCATCTTTTTACCTAGTCTGTAAGATTCGCGACAACTGAGAACCAGTGACTAACTTAAAGCAGAAAGTGATGCCGCGATGGAAGAACTAGATACCAACTTCGCACTGCGAAGATTGGAAGCCGACTGAGTGAGACATTTCTGGAACTGGTTAGCTTCTAGCTATGACATAAGCTACGTAGATAATTAATTTAGACCGAAATATTACAGTGAAAGAACCTAGTATTTTTTCCTTTAGCAACAAAAACATGTTTCGAATTTTTTATTATAGGCATGATCATACTTACCATGTCCCATTGATTTAATAATTTTTCAACTGTTGATCTGTTTTGAGTCGACAAAGTTGATGCTGATGTT